CTTATGCTCTAATAAATTTGTTAGTCTCTAAGGTGCCACAAGTACTCCTGTTCTTTCAGCATTTTATGCTTACACTTTGCCTGGGTAGGGATTAAGGTTTGTGGATGGGGGGCCTAACTGAGGAAGGAAAAGCTTTCTGGATCCTCATTCTTCTAGCAAGTTGTCCATGAAGGGACATAATTCAGTCCTTAATATTTAGTATTCATGTGCACATGTCTAATGGCCGATACTTTTCAGAGAGCCAGTCAGATCTTTACAGCCGAGCTTCTGCTTTTGCAGGAGCAAATAATGGTATTTGACTATTTAATTTCCTGGTTTGCAGGTGAAATCAGGTAATTAAAATGTCTAAATGGCTATTATTTATGCCCACTAACTAAATTATGAGCACAAAAATGAAGGTCAACTTTACAAATCTGGGTTACCTTTCCCCTGCCTGTTAGTTGCCCAACATTGTTAAGCAAATCTATATGAAACCTAATACACATTGCTACATTTTGATTATGTAGAATTTCTCTAATGACCAATGTAAAGATTTCAAAAAGGGAATAACAAGATCAGGTAACACAGATATGTAAGAACTCTGGCACTAGTGCAATTGTTTTACTTGCCTCTCAGATCACTTAGGGCCTGATCCTGCAATCACTTTCAAACATGCTTAACATTAGGCATATGAGTGGCTATACTAAATTCAAAGCAACAGTCTAAGGGCATTACTTGAAATCAAGTGAATACTCCTGTACCAAAAGCTAAGCGCATGCGTAAGTGCTTGTAGGATTGAGGCCTTCATCTAGAAGTTTAGGCTTAAAAATATTAAAATATAACTAAATAGGAAAAGACTCTTATTACAGCAACATTCTGTATTAGCTACATTTTAGCAGGACAAGCCTGAGGATTAAAAACAATTAATGAGAGTAATCATTTCTTGAAATAACAAAATGTGATTAATATCTCCATAAAACAATTCATTTTTTTTAAACAAGCAAAGCAACTTGTTCACATCAGGCATTAGTAGCCTGCAAAAATTTGGCACCAGTAGGCTGTAAAAAATAAAAGCGATTAATGAGTGTCAGCCAAATAAAATATTGAAACATCTATTGTAAATGTCTATTTTTGCCCCTGTATGCATCAACATGGTTAGATGGATTTTTCCTAGTTCTCGTCTCTAAATAATTTGCTCTGGGACTGCAACTCTTAACTTAATGCTAAGTTTCAGACAGAAGTACTATTTTGTGGGTGAGTTATAAACTCCTTAGAGTAGGAGTTTCTGATGGAAAAGGTGATGGAGACTTAACTCTAGTGTAGTAAACATGGCACTGTAGTATTTTTTTGCTGCACAGAAAAAAAAACATTGTAAGCACTCACCAGTTTGGCATAACCTCGGTGATCTAGAATGAGGTTTTCTGGCTTGAGGTCCCTATAAATTATTCCTTTGGAATGCAGATAGGCAAAAGCTTCCACTACACATGCTGTATAAAATCTGGTCGTAGAATCTTCAAATGAACCTCTATATAAAAGAAAATGGAAAAAGGTCTGGGGGCCATTTAAAATATTTGCATTTAATGTTGTATATTTGGTTGTACTATTATTGCACGTCACTATGATTACAGCAATGAAATAAAGTTTAATAAGAATTAACCTCTGCTATGTAGACCATATAGATTTACTACTCTAGATTTTAAGGCCTCAATCTTGCAAGATGCTAAGTACTCTGGCCCATTCCAGCAAAGTTCTTAAACATATGCATTGTCCCACTTACTTCACCTTGAAGGATCAAGCCCTAAAACATAATGATAGTTCAAAACAATTTCGCTATGAACCATATTTTTCAAAAAGTTTTGTCTGTAACTACCTCAGGGACTTGTGGCATCAAGACAGTAAGTTTCACATATTTTATGATCTTACTCTAGCCACTCCTTAGCTGCCAGAAGGAAACATACTGTGAAATAGCTGTATAGATATGATACAATCATGTTTCTCTCTTTGTCTGTTTAATTTGTTGAAAGTTTATAGCTTTGAGATAAATAAGGAAAGCTTCTTTGTTCAAGTTGTGCTTATGTTTTATTCAGGTGGGAAAAGAGAAGATATCAATATCTCAAATTGATCACAGGTATACCAACTATCCAGTTGTAGATTAGCTATTTACTCTTTAGCTGCCAAACTAGCTTTCTATATTAACAATTAGGGAGACTTGGATTGCCAACCCTCCAGGATTGGCCTGGAGTCTCCCAGAATCGGCATCAATTTCCCGGTAACTATTGAAAGCAATCCAGGAGATTTTAACAGGATATTTTAAGAAAATGACATTATGTCATGTTCGGTAAAAAAGATCCCGGAATAGCTTCAGTCAGAGTTAGCAACCCTTAGGGAGACCCACTTACCTTCTCCTACTAAAAGCCAATCTTATCTACTCACTTTACTTGATCTAATCAATACAATACATACACAGTTTGGAAGCCCTCTGCTAATTGGAAAATAGCCATTAGCAAACTCATTTCTGTTTGGTTTCCATTCATGAGGATAGCATTTTACCCACTAGTTGAATTCACATGAAGCATTGTTTTAAACCAAAGTTCCAAACTTAACACAAATATTGTTACATTAGACACAATTATGAAATAAATATGAAGTCATAACAAAAAAGAATGATATTTAATTCAAAGAAAAAATTGTATAATACATCTTTCATATTTACGTAATATATAAGTTTTGAACTAAATCTATTAAAATGGATCAAAGACTAATGTTAGATACTGTTTAAGACTGAGACAAAAATAAAAAGCTATTATTTGGATTTTAAGTGTTAATTTCAAATTTAAAGAAGTGAATCACTTCCCACTCTTTTGGAATGAATATATAGTTACTTGAAATCATAATTAGATTTTGACAACAGAATTGTTTGAGCTCTACTAACTGAAACTAAAATAAATGTGCTTCTAAGCTAGATGGCAGTAGAAACCACAATTCAAAGAGCAAAAGAATGAAAGAATTGATCAGACTTCTGAAAAAAAAATTAAAAAGAATAAATCCAGACACCTGTTAGCTTTGGAATTGTAATGCTTTTTAAATATATTGAGAGCAGGCAGATTTTTAGAAGAAGCAGAATATAAAAAATAATTAAAGTAACTTCTTAGAGATAATTAAAATATCAGTTTGATATTTGTTTTAGGCTCCATTTTCCTTTAATGTTTAAATTGCCTGTTTACTCTGAGGACAACATTCAATTTACAAATTTAATCATATCTATTACATTTCTAATTGTGTGCTTATATTTATAGAGTGTTTGTGTACAGTTTATCACATGGTTATCTCCCCTCATATGTAATATATATATTACACCCAAAAAGCTAAGATAAAAGAACGTTATTAAAGTTACAAAGTCAAGGAACCAAAAGTTAGGAAATGCCAGAATTAAAGTTGCCTGAGCAGCTTGTGTTCTCCTCATTGTTCATTGGCCCATGCCTTACTGACTACACACTTTTCAAATCCTGATCCGTGGAGAGAATTATTAATTCCCGCATGGGCTTTTCTATGGCACTCATCACTACGTGTCTGAGATGCTTCAAAAACATTTAGGAATTTATCTTTTTACAACCCCTGTGGAGTAAGGGACTATTATCCCCATTTTACAAATGAGGAACTGAGACACAGACGGAAGGAACCAAAAAGGCTATGTCTACACTTCAGGTAAACACCTGCAGCTGGCCCTTGTAAGCTGACTTGGGCTTCGGGTGCTTTGGGCACGGAGCTGTAAAATTGTGGTGCAGATGTTCGCTTGGGCTGGAGTTCTGGGCTCTCGGACTCTCTCGCGGGGTCCCAGAGCTCAGGCTCCAGCCTGAGGCCAAACACCTACACCTCAGTTAAATAGCTCTTTAGCCTGAGCCCCATGAGCCCGAGTCAGTTGGCACAGGCCAGCCACGAGTTTTTAATTGCAGTGTACACATACCCCTAAAGGGAGGCAGCAACATATGTTATCAGAGGCTGAAATATAGGTGGCACATAGGGAACTTTTACTCTGAAAACTTAGGTGCTGAGTGAGTTTAGGTGACTATGGGGTTCAGCAGGAGTTTTGTGAATCACGGTGGAGCCAAAACTGAGATTTAGGCACCTAAACTTGATTAGGTCTCAGGTTTAGGTGCCTAAGTAGCTTTGTGGATTTGGGCCAGACACACTAAGGTTAAAAGTATCCAATAACTTGGATTAGGGCACTCCTCTGCTATGTGAGAGACCCACCTTCAAACTCCAGCTTCACATCAGGGAAGGGAAATTGAACCCAGGTCTCCCACATCCCCTAGGTGAGTGCGCTCACTGTCTAAAGGTTATAGGGGAGGCTACTGCCTCCTCTTGTTTGCTTCCTCCCTCTGTCTCCCTTACCCATTCCCCCTCCCAAAATGTTTTGGGTGAAAGTCCATTCTGAATACACTCCCTGCAATTTAGGACTCTATAAATCAGATCCTCTCCCCTGGCTCTGTTCCCTTTTTATGGATCCTAAGAGGCTCAGGTTAAGTGGAAGGGTCTGGAAGGGGGCATGGTAAGGTGGCAGAGGATAATCCTCAGCTGGTGGAGTGATCACTGTCCTAGTTAGTGTAATTTAGAGAAGCCTTTAGGTTACTCCAAGTTATGACAGGGGCCACTTTAGTCCCTGGTCATCTCCAGGATAGCGGGGGTGGGAGGGGAGGGAACAAGACTTTCTCCACCTTTTCTGTGTCCTGTGCCAAGCACAGCTTGGTGATACTCAGGGATCTCTCCTTTAATGTACGTTAGAGATTGTCTGCTAGGAATAAAGATATACAATATTACAGTTCACACTGACATATAATTTTCTCTTTCAGATATAAGGTTTCTAAAATTTCTTACCTGTCCCTGAGAATTGTCCAAAGCTCTCCACCTAGACAGGCTTCCATTAACATGTATAAATATTTGCTGTCCTTGAATGTCCTGTATAGTCTATTATTTGCAAACAAGAAAATGCAATAAAAGTTAAAGCATTCTTTTTGGTAAAAGGTATTCCTGTGATACTTCACACTCCTTATTAACCATGAATATCACTCACTGTCTTCATTCTGTTGTATCATACTTGAAATGTTTCAGCAGAACAGATGCAGTATATTAGTGTTGAAGTGTATTATAAGAGGATGATGTTGCTACTCTGGGAAATAAATTTAGGGCATGACATTTCTAACTACTTAGCCTGACGTTGCTGCTTTCCAAGATCACTTGAAAGAGAGGCAAGACAATATGTACCCCATTTCTTGTAATGAGTAGATCATTTATCCTTCAAAGAGTCAATATATAGATCTGAAGCCTTCCTTTCATTTAATAATTTCAAAAGAATGCCCCTTAATTTTGGTTCATGTAAAAATTTAATACAATTTGCTGTTACATTTCATAGACCTTATAAAAATATCAAAAGATGCTTGTTTCCTCATCCAGGATGATTGAATATGTGGGAAAATCTGCCTAATGAAATAGTTGGGGCAATGTAACGTATTCAGCATGTACTGTATGTCAGGCTTGACCTAGATTCTATGGGAAAACATTCCTTTCTATACATTTCTGCAACATTCTTGTGAAGCAGACTGGAAATTGTGTACCAGCTTCAGATGAATTAAATAAATGGAGTTTATTTATTTAATTAAATATGGAAATAATACAAGGAATTTTAAATTGTTGCATATCTCATTTGTTATTAAACTAAATTAATTTTACTTTACCCATATATTTTTCATTTTAAAGGTGCGGAAGAGCTTTGTACTGACAACATGCAGCTGAATTGCAGAATCTTTCTGGGAGGAAGCTGTACATTTTGGCAGATGGATAGAGGACCATTGGGGTTTTTGACTCCTGGGAAGTTAAGGTCTGGGAGACAGTTTGGGTTTGTTGGATAAGTACATTAGCTCCCAGTGTTGACATTTAAATCACCATCATTAGATTTCAGAGTTACCATAGCACTGAGGCGAACTATTCTCAGAGCTATTGTTATGTCTGTGAGAGTTATCATTTCAGGCTCTCTGCAGAAAGAAGCACACTTTGCTATGTCTGTTTACACTCAGATCTCACATTTGGAAGGTTTTCTTTGCAACCACATCGTATAGAACATTATTTTAAAAAATCTCAAAAGGTTTGATTCTGGAACATAATTCTTCAGCAACGAGTGGATTCTGTAGTATATTCTGTGACTGTGCAATTACACTCATGCACAGGGCTCTGTATGTCTTAAGCATTATGGGCATTATTAATCTCAGGTGACTACAATGAAAACAGAAGGTGTTGCAGAATTGAGCAGTTCAAAGTAAATAACATACTTTGTTATACCTCTCAAGGAGCTGTTGTGTGACATATGCCATGAGACAGGGATAGACTAGCTGGATGCTTGATTGATCATGATGCAAGTTGTTTAGTGCATTAGTCTTTTATTTTTGGAGGCATTTGGTTAAATACTAGCTTAAGTAACATCGAAATGTGTTGGTCTCAACATAGTCCCTATCGGACATTACATCACGAAATTGGGCAGAGTTTGTCTTTGGTCGATGTTTGTACAGCGCACAGCACAATGTCACTTAGTTTTTTTTATTACTATTGTTATCATTATTACCCTATTACATATTCTGGAATAACTATTCATCTTTTCACCTCTACTGGAAAAGTCTGAGGCTTATGATCCAGGTCAGGGCTGAGGAGCACTTGCTGAGCTGTCTGAGGAAGCTTGCAAAGTCTGCCTGAGTCAATGTAACTTGTCTCTTGCTTCCGAGAGTGCCAATAGCCACAGAAAAAACAGTTAAAAACCGTAAATGCTCCTCTACTTGTGAAACATTAGTCTTGATTCACTATAGCTAAAATGTACCATGTGTGGTCACAAAAGATTAAAAGAAAGAAAAATGAACCCATCTTTTAGATCCTCACTTAAATACTGGTAAATTTTGCACCTTATTTTGACACTTATTAGGCTTCAGTACAAACTTGTATAGTCAGTCAAAATTAGAGTAATTTAGTTAACTACTTATTATGGTTAAGATCTGTGGAAAGGCTCCAGCAGTGGGATAATATATTGCTAAAAAAAGCAATGTAGATGGGAAGCATGACTTGGGCAAGTAGAAAGCCATGGAGGGCATGTACTTGGGCATGTCTTTACTCGCCTGAGCCATGCCTCACCAGCTACTCTGATATTTATACCCATGCTGAGGGGAGAGGTTGGAAGGGGGGGACTACTGAGTATATACTCTACATGCCACCATAAGAAGTATGTAGCATAAACCTACCTAAACAGTTTCTGATCAATTTTAACATCTCTAGGTTTACCCATCCTTATAGCAGCCTTTCAAATGGTTCATTACATGAACAGCCTTATTTTAGTGCTTTCTTTTCCAGTATTCTGCATAGACCTGGAGATAAGATACTGGAAAGTATTTCTGTTTATCTTACATAAACATTAAATACACACAAAAAAGAAGGAAAAAAAGTTGATTAGTATATATTTAATTAGCTATTGAGGTTAATGGTACTAGTCATGTAAAAGTTTGCAGGATCAGGCTCCTAATCTTGAGAATATGTTCTCTTTCAATTATGTTAAAATGTCCTTTATGGTTTAGTGGTCATGTTCTGCTAACTCTGTTATATAATGGCACCTTCCATTACATTAGTATATTGATTCAGACAGTGGGTAGCACATTAAAAACTTTAGAAAATATTTTGTATCCTGCAATTTCAGTGCTATCTCAAATCTAGATAACTGAGGCATTTTTGTGGATCAAATATGAAAGAAAAGCGAAGTGTAAAGATAATTGAAGCATTACATAGTGCCACCTTGTTTACTTCATACAGTAACTGTTGTGGCAAATTAATCAAGCATGAGGTTGAAATAAACATATTACAAAGGCAATAACAGATGGTCCTTCAATCCCTAATAAAAGGTATACATATACAATTTTCATTTCAAGCCTGTGTAATTTAATGCTCATGTAAGATAAGATACTAGAAAACATTTCTCTTTGTCTGACGTCTAACGTAGAGTACAGGAAACTAAATCACTACTCTTCAAAAATATACAGATAACTCCCTGGCAAAGTTATTGTTCCATTTCATCTCAATTTTAGAAGAGAGTATTTGCTATTCTTATAGGTTTAAATCCAGGCACAGAGAAATCTTTTGTGTGTAGGTCTCCTTCCTCCAGAGTGAAAGTAAGGCTCAGCAGCCCCCTGTTCCCTCTTCTTTTAAACCTCACAGAGGCCCCTCTGCCATCCAAGGTCTGCACAGAGGTAGGAAATGAGACTAGACAGCCAGGGAGAAGCGAGTATGTTAGGGACACATCATCTCTGCTCCAGCTCTGTGGAGTTCACCTGGGTAAATAATAAAGCTCCATGGTATATTTTCTGCTGAGTCCCCATCTCCAGTGGAATTGAGCTGGAGATGGGGAGTGGGAGTTCTGCCAAAGGCCAGAGCTGGTGCAAAGGCACAGAGCTTCCCCATGAATCAGAGTGTCTGCCAGGTTTCTGATGGGTGTTACAGCATATTTTGCTGGGGAGGAGACACCCCCAGCTGAGTGATGTGTGTGTGGGGGAAATCTCTGTAAGGGTGTCCTCCTGGAGAGTTCATCCCCCACAGACCTGTGTATGGCTTTTACCAGAGAGAGAATGATTTGGGCGATAGTTTTATTAATTTACCGAATTTGCTAAATAATATTGCCAATACCTTTGCAATATTTATTGAATGTCAGATTTTTCAACTATCCAAGACTCTTACAATAATCTTGAATATATAAGGGAGCATCTCACCATCCTGTTTTCCCTCCAAATATTCACAATTTTAAGGGATGCTCAGTGTCAGATAATGTAAGTGTGATTATGGTTAGAAAAGTGACTATAGCCTCTTGTTACACATTCAGAGTCACATCTGCTTATCTTTCTGATCAACATTTGGTGTTACCGCTTTTTACTCTTGGAGAGCCAATAAAGCTAAGGAATGAGCTAGATTCTGTTTTGGCATGTGCATAATCAAAATATTTGCTGAATATTGTTGACTCTCTACTACTGCTGTTGGTGCATGATGCAGAAAGACTACAGCTTGACTTCCAGAATCTAGGTTGAGTTTTCAGGGCTGAGAGTTAAAAATATTGAGCAGATTTGTCAACTCATTGAGAGACAATAAACATGGAACACTATGGTGCCATATTTGCAGAGTCCCTTGACTGAGATAAACTGCGATTAAAAGGTGTTTTACCTATAGTGCTTGTGGGACAATTCATGACCAATTCCATAACACACTGCAATTTTATAAGAAACAATAGCCAGACTGGAACGTTCTCAACTTGAAATGAGTTTATAAAGTGTAGTGACAGTACCTCACAATGAAGTCTGAGTGAGCCCCCTGCATTATCTGCTTCTCTGAGCGTATGTGCTCCTGCTGTCTTGTGTCCACTATGTGACGCTTCTTCAGTATCTTCATTGCAAATGTTTTGGATTCTTCACTTTTCAACTGGACCTTGAATAAAAGTGGCAAATATATTAGTTAGAAGCAGTGCCTGTAACTCCCTAACAATCTGGAATTTTGGATGAATTTAGCTCCTTCCAAAAATGTTAGATCTTTTGGAGAATAGAAAGTTTATTTCATAGGGGGATATAAACATAATTAAACAAACTGAAATAAAAATGAACCTAATTCTTAGAGCACTCAAGATGACTGTAAATTGACTTTTCTTCAGTTCCTCCACCTACCACAAATATGCTGTCCCCTTCTCTTACCTTCTTAACAATCTCCAGCCTCATCCCTTCCTCAGTGGAACAGCAGTCTCATACTCCTGGAATGCTTACTCTCATCAACTGACCCAGCCTCCCTGCACAGAGCCACTCTGAATTTCATGATCAATTTTTCCTGTTCCTAGCATGACACCCCAGTGCAACCTATCTCCCACTCCTGATTTCTAAGCCAAGAGAAGCATTTGGCAGAATGGGTAGATGGGTCACATTAAGAGGCCAGGTGAAGCCAGAGGAAGGACAGGAGGAGAGTTTGTAGCAGCAAAAATGTATTCAGGCATAAGTTATGACTCAAGAGCTCCCAAGAGCTAGGAACCCTCCCTTTTTTCCAGCACAGTGTTCCCTAGCTTCTCTCTTAGGAAATTAACTGGCTCCCCCGGGGATAACCATTTGGAAATTAGCCCGTTTCTTATGCCTTAATAAAACACACGTTTTAACTCATTGGATCTGTTCACTGCAAACCAGATTTCTAAATGTGGCATATTGCTACACCATATCCACTGATACATTTGCTAGTACAATATGCCATTGAATTGAAAAGCCATTTACAATAACTTTCTGTGCTGAGGGGAAAAACAACCACAACAGCATTATATATTTCCCTCAGGTATACCCACAGCATAAAGATGCTGGTTCTAATAAGTGTACAACTTTAATAAAAACCTTTTTCTATAACTATAACATTTCCACTGACTCTGACAAGGGAATATAGTCCTTGAAAGGTTTAAATGCATGAGCAAAGCTAGCTTTTCAATGGTGCTGCTCTGGCATGTCTTTACTTTTAACCTTGACTCTCAACTAATCTATTTTTCTTGTTAAGAAAACAGATGTCTGTAAAGTTTAAGCTTTTTGTTGTTGTTGTTGCTTAGCCTAAGCACAGGAATCACTTAAGATCCCTCAGAACTTCTCCCTGTATGCAGTGGGCCAAATTCTGCATTGACTTACATCCTGTGAATTGACATCAGTATCCATTAGCAGACAATGGAGTTGAATAGTGTTTAAGTCAATAGAGAATTTGGCCTGATATATTCATCTGCTTTCACAGATAAGAACTTACTGGTATGGCATCTGAGGGGCTTTCAAGAATGCAAAACTAACAGAAGGGATCTATCCTGTCCAGGGCCGGCTCTAGGCACCAGGCACCCAAGCACACGCTTGGGGCGGCACCTGGTAAGGGGCGGCGGGGGGAGCGCGGCGCGGCATTCCCCGGGGGCGGGTGCTCCGGCAGTGCGGCGCGGCGCTGGGGGGCGGGCTCCAGTTGCGCGGGGCGTTGGTGAGGGGGTGGCGTGGGCGTGGCGCTGGAAGGGGTTCGTGGCGGCGCTCGGCGGGGGGCGAGGGGCGGGGTTCGGCGGGGGGGGCGAGGCGG